TGCACCACCCCATTGTCGCTGGACCCCCTTTTGGGTCTATTGCACGCCCCAAATGTGGTGCAGCTCCGCAAATCTGTTGCACCTGATCTACTGCACCACCCCATTGTCGCTGGACCCCCTTTTGGGTCTATTGCACTCCCCAAATGTGGTGCAGCTCCGCAAATCTGTTGCACCTGATCTACTGCACCACCCCATTGTCGCTGGACCCCCTTTTGGGCCTATTGCACGCCCCACATGTGGTGCAGCTCCGCAAATCTGTTGCACCTGATCTACTGCACCACCCCATTGTCGCTGGACCCCGGTTTGGGTCAACCCGGAGACCTTGGAGGGCCTGGATGCCGCGGGAGCCCCATGCGCCCGCCCTCCGGGAGCCCTCCGGCCAGGGCAGAGGCCAGCCTGAGTCCAGACAACGAACGGCTATGGCAAACCGTCAAAAGTCGAATTGCGGGGTGATCCTCAGCCGGTGAGACCACGTACGAGACATTCATCGACATCCCAATGCAAGGCAACGATCGGCACACAACCATTAACGCGAGGATACTGGCAGCGGCCCCGCGGTCCTCGTGGTTGAGCCACTCTCCAACGCCGGCTTGCACCACAGGCCTGCTCAAGAGAACGCCCTGCACCTGCCACCAGATGGTAGCGAAGGACAGCAAGACCAACAAGCTGGAGCTCATCGTAAAGAAGCACACTGGCGTCACTGCACTCGGCATCGCATCGGGGCCTTTGAATCCGCCACCATGCCTTGAACACATGGTGGAGCGGCAAGGAGTCTCAATCAGTTGAGTGCCAGAGGGATGGTGCATCTTGAAAGAAGCTCACGCCCCGGGCCCCAGGGTTGCCAGAATTCCTGGGCGCTCTTGAGCGCTTCTGATTTGGCGCGTGGACCTCCAGGAGGCAGGATCTGCATCTCCTGAAAATGTTTGCGGACTTCTTGGCATCGAAAGGTTCGCCTAGGTTAGGTGCCCAGGCCGACTCTCGCCCAAGACGACCCCAGGACCTCCCAAAGACACTCGGTTCCAGAGGGCCCCAAGAAGCCCCCAAGAGGCACTCCAAAAGACCCAGGCACGGTGGCGGGATGGGCCGCAGGCTTCTAGATCCGCCTGCCCCTGTGGTCTTGCCACAAGTTTGGCGGCGTGCCAAACGTCTGAAGGTTGTGGTTCTTTTCTACAGAACTCCCCGTGAGGTCTCCGCCCAACCCGCCCCGCCGGCCACCTGGAGAGCTGAACAAAGCCGACGACAAAAAACAACTCCGTTGGCTCAATCGCCTCACAGACGCCTCCAAGTTCGCCCAAGATGGTCCGAGATGGCTTCCAAGATAGCCCAAGAGGGTCCAATATGCCTCCAGGTCCGCCCAGTAAGCCATCAAGACGGCCACAGAGTGCGCTAAGATGGCCCAAGACGGCCCAAGAGGTCCCAAAGAGGCCTCCAAGACGGCCTAAGAGGTCACCAAGAGGACATCAAGGAAGGCCCCCAAACCACTGATTTCCCTGAGGTGTTTGAAGGATTTTGCGGGTTGCTCCTCTCTGGCCTTTCGCCAGCCCAAGAGGGCCCCAAGATAGTCCCAAGAGCGCCCAAATGGCCTCCACTAGGACGGCCCAAGAAACCTCCAAAACGCCCAAGATGGCCTCCAAGACGGCCCTGAAGCGCCCCAAGGTGGCCCCAAGTCGGCCCAGAGAAGCCCCCAAGACAGCTTCCGACCGCGCCAGGCAAGCCAGGAACGCCCCAAGGAGCATGCAACAAAGGCCCCCAAGAGGCCTCCAAGAGGCCTCCAGGAAGCTCCTAGGGTGCCCAAGCTGTGCCCCAACAGGCTGCCACGAGGCATCCTCCTCCTCATCCTCCTCCCTTTTCCTTCTTTTCCTCCTCTTCTTCCCCCACGTGTACCCCGAAGGGTTTCAACAACGGCTGGTGGAACACATAGTGCGATAGCTTGGCCGAGCTCTGGCGGCAACATTCGGCCACATAGGCGCTGCCAACAGGCAGGGGGCGGCGATGATTCGCCGTAGGCGTCCTCGATACGCGTTCGGTCCACAATGCATATGTGATACAACAGTTGTGCTAGGGCCAGTGTGGCTGCAGTGGGGGAGAAGAGTCCTTAACAATCCTGCTCCTCTTCCGTCTCGTTCCTCGCTGAAGCATCCACCTTCCTCCATCCTCCTGCTCCTGCTCCTTATCGTCCTGCTGCTGCTCATCGCTCCTCACCGTCCCCCTCGTCAGAGCCATTCCCCCCCAAAGGTGGCCTGGGAATGTGTGCGAGGTCTCTCAAAAAGGGCGCGCCCGCAAGGACCGATGCTACATCGGCGCCACGGAAAGTTCGACCGGTTTCGTACTGAACAATACGCCCTGCGAAATGCTCAAGAAATCATGGGTTAAGAAATTCAGAGTCTGCGAATTTGAATAAAAAACCCGAACTTCTATTAAAATCTTGGGATTTACATTGAAAAGTTAAGAATAATCGAGACTCTGGACGAAAACTTAGGTTTTCTTGAGCATCGCCTAAGGTGTAGGATGAGTTGGTGAACCTCCGATCCATCGGAGGGCAAGCTACGTCCTTGTCTGCACAACGGTCAGGGACTCGCCCGGGACTCCCAGTCGAATCTCGGACGAGTTATGGCCGCGTTGCAAGCCGCGCGGCGCTGTCTGCAACGGCCATGGGCTCCAGCGACATTCCCACTGCGTGCCCGGCTGGCGGGCGTGGCGACATGACCGAGGGCCGCGTGTCGGCCTCGGGAAGCCATCAGGCCTGTCGGACGCTCGGTCGATGCCGACACCGGAGGCGAAGCTCACGGCTTCCCAGGGCAGCCAGGGCAGCTGACACCGTGCTCCAGATCCGAGAGGAGCCCGGGCGGCTGGTCAAGCTGCTGGTGGAAGAGCGCGCCGCAGGCAGCCCGAGGCGCCGCAGAGGAGCCTTCCCTGAGATCCGACTTCTCGAAACAAGTGAGGCATCGAGAAAAATCACGACTGGAAACCCCGGACCCCATGTTTCTGCGCCGCTCTTTCGAGCGAGCCGCCGCCGGCGTGGCCGGCGTGGCGGCGGCTCCTGACGCCACCTGGCCAGGCCCCGGGCGAACACGCGCCGCGGGCCGCGGCCACACCCCTCGTGGGCTTCGTCGGCGAAGCGGCGCGCGTCCCGACGGCCAGCGGCGACGACGACGACGACGACGGCCGCGACCACGCCCTCCTCCTCCTCCTCCTCCTCCTCCTCCTCCTCCTCCTCCTCCTCCTACCTCCTCCCTCCTCCTCCTCCTCCTCCTCCTCCTCCTCCTCCTCCTCCTCCTCCTCCTCCTCCTCCTCCTCCTGGGAGTGGGTCGAGGCCTCTGAGGGTCCCGAGGTGCAGCCCTTGGACAGCCCCGAGGGCCAGTGAGGGCCCCCGAAGGCCGAAACCTGTGAGACAGAAGCCGCCGTGCTCTCTGCAGGACGCGGGGGGCAGCTGGGCGCCCTGCTCCGACGCCGCCCTCGGGGCGGCTGCCGAGATAGCCCAGACGAGGGCGTGGGAGTAAAGCGGGATGAAATTGGGTAGGAGGCGAAGACAGGAGAGGAGAGGAGGAGGAGGAGGAGAGAGGAGGAGGAGGAGGAGGTTGCGAAGAAGAGAAGGATGAGGTGGAGGAGGGGTGGAGGATGAGAAGGAGGATGGTGGAGGATACAGGGGGGGGGTAACACGGAGGGGATTGTGGCGGATGTGTTTTGGGTGGGTGGGGGGGGTTGAGGGGGTTTTGGTGGGGTTTTGGGGTTATTCGGTCGTGTGGTAGGGTGGGTTTTCGGATTAGGTGTGGATTGGACGTTTGCCGGGCGTGTACTGTCTGTCGTGACGTGTAGGTCTTCTGGATTCTGTCTTAATGGGCTGCGTTTCTGGTCTGCTGGAAGTCGTTGGTTGCTGACTTTGTCTGTGCCTTCTTCTTCTTCTTTCGTCTTCGTTCGTTCTTTGTACTTCTTCTTCTCATCTTAACACTTTCTTCCTCTCTTTCTTCTCTCCTTCTTCTTCGTCGACTTCTTCTTCTCCTTTTCTTCTTCCTCTTCGCGTCTTCCTTCTTCTTCTCTTCTTCCTCTTTCTTCTCATTCTATTCCCCCCCCTCCTCCATGGCTCGGCTCCCCCCCCCCCAGAGGGTTCCGAGAGGGCGGCGGGGCGCCGGGCCCCCCTTTCTGCACGAGCGCGCCCCGCTGCTCGCAAGATGCGTGCCTGCAGACGCTCGAGAAATGCGCACGTCTGCCTCGATGTATCTAACATGCAAGAGGGACCCTACAGTCGGGGCGTTGACCCAAGGAACCCTAAGTAAGGAACGAGGCCCCTTTTCCCTATAAGTTGAACTTTGATTTCCCATGGAAAACCTGAGGAAAACCCTAGGCAAACTGTAAAACAATCAAGGAACACCGAACCCCTCCCCAACGAAAAGGGTTCCTTCTTCAGCGCCCCGACTGTAGGCAAGAGTGACCTTCAGTGCGCGGCCGGGGGGGGGGCCTTCGGGGACACCACCGGGTGTGCAAGCCGTTGCTATCGCATCGCTTGCAGCAATCGGGGGGCCCGCTGGGCTCGCACCACAGTCTGGCGAAATGTCACTCTTACGTGTAGTCGAGTGTGGTGGGTCGGAGATCCTCCGCGGCGGGGGGACCGGGGGGGGGTCCTTGGGGGAGTCCTTTACGAGCTCTTGCACCCCCGGGATGGGACGGGAGGGAGGGACTCGTTGCCGATCCGCGCAAAAATCCCCACCACCCCTGGCGTAGTACGTGCGACGCCAGGGGGGGGCGGCCCGTCCACCCACCTCCCCACCATAGGGGGGGGTGCGAAGTCCCTGTGGACGGGACGGGGTGGGCACTGAGGGGCACCATAGGCCCTTCTGGAACCAAAGGTGGGCACCATACGCCCACCACCACCAACGGAGGTACACCATATGTCCTCCACCCTTCATTCCATTCAAAATTCAGGGAACTTTTCAACTTGATTCTTCAACCTCTCTCCAAGCCATCTGCAAGCAATTACTCTGCGAATCGTGGAACGCGTTTGGCTTCTTTCGGCGAGGACGCCGGGCAGTCACGCGGAGTCGCGCCAAGGAGCAGTGGCCGGCGCGTCGCGCGCGGCGCCCGCGAGAGGCGGGAAAAGCACCGCGGCCGCACGCGCCCCGCGGAGTCAGAGCTTGCCCCCTTCTCCTCCTCCTTCTCCTCCTCCTCCTCCTCCTCCTCCGCCTCCTCCTCCTCCTCCTCCTCCTCCTCTTCGTCCTCCTCCTCATCCTACTTCCTTTTGCTCCTCCTCCTCCTGCTCCGCCTCCTCCTCCTTTCCTCCTCCTCCTTCCCCTCCTCCTCCTCCTCCTCCTCCTCCGCCTCCTCCTCCTCCTCCTCCTCCTCCTCCTCCTCCTCTCCCTCGTATTTTTAAACAGATTCCGACAGATTCGCGCCTTTTACTGTCTATCATTGTTTTGGCCAATGACCATTCGCGCCCATTAGCGCGTATTGGCGTCTACTAGCGCCAATGAGAGTCAACTAAGCAGCGCCTATTAGCGACCAACTCAGCAGCGCAGTAGTAAACGCGAATAGCCAAGAAAGACAACAACTCATGCCTGAAATGACTCTTAAGCATCTGGCTGGACCTAGGACAGACGAACATACCTCAAACACATAAGACCCTCCGCCGGCTCAAACACCCTGAACGTGCGAGGGTGCCCTCGCCCAGGATGCAGAAAAACATCCAGCAAGCACGAAAAGCATCAGGGTACCCTCCCCGCACCGACCTCGATCTTATACCTCGGTCCGACCGTAATAGCCAGGGAAGGCAGCAACTCATAACTAACATGACCCTTATGCATCACAAACCTACTCCAAACTTCTCAATAAGCGTCGGGGGGGCGTCGTCACCCCCGCCGACAGCCCCACGTCGACCCCCCGTCGCGGGCAGCCACCGCGCGCCGAAGACGCTCCGACCCCCGTCGCGGCGCGACGACGAGGCGAGCTTGACCCCCGTCGGGGGGGGGAGACCCCCCCCCCACGCTTATCAAGAAACCCTGAAGTCGGGGTTCTTCTGATCTCGGGCCGAGAGCAGAAGAATTTGGGCAGCTTCGTCCCCCGCCTTGGCACTCCGTTTTCGTCTCGTTCTCGGCTCGCGCACAACGTTTTCGATTCGTCTTGGGCTACCGCTCTGTTCCCGTTCTTGCTGGTCGCAGCCCCGAAGGTGGAGAACGGAAAAAAAACGCCCCCGGCGTAAGAAACCCGGAGCAACGTAAAACAGGGCTAGGATCGGGATAAATCGCTCCAGAGCGTTCCGGAGCGCTCTCAGAGCGTTCCGGAACGCTCTGGAGCCGTCGCGGCGCCCAATACATCCTCCAAACCCGCCGATTCTCAGAGATTTCGAGTTATCCCGATCCATTTTTGTCCCGATCTTCGCGTCGTTTGACAACGTGCCGATCTCCGATCCAGGCGGGGCTCGCGGCCCGCGGCGAGGGGAGGAGGCCGTCAGCCAGCGGCGCAGCCGGCGCAGACGCCGGGCTCGGCCCAGCGGCACCAGGGGCACGCTGCGGGGGCACGCTGGGCGGGGTGGGGGCGAGGAGAGCACCGGGGCGCGGAGGGCCGCAAAAGGGGGAGGAGGAGGAGGGGGAGGGGGAGGAGGAGGAGGAGGAGGAGGAGGAGGAGGAGGAGGAGGAGGAGGAGGAGGAGGAGGAGGAGGGAGGAGGGGGAGGAGAGGAGGAGGAGGAGGAGGAGGAGGAGGGGGAGGAGGAGGGGGCCACGCAACGGAAGGAGGGGAACAGGGACCGACCGTCCCGGCATTCCTCGGAGCATCTTCTCGGGGAGGAGGGCTCGGGGTGAGATCCATATGGGCTTCTGCACCTCGAGGATCGATCCGTCTTGTGATTCACCTTTTGCAGATGCAAGCCTCGAGAACCAATCGAACCTGTGCCCTCGACCCAAGGAAAAAGTTCAGATTCCTTTAGGCCTACTACGAAATTTCTTGGAACCCCAAAATGTTCTAAGAACAGAAACAGCGCTCTTAGACTATAAGCCCGATGTGTTAATACAAAGCAGCCTGAGCCAGAAATGTTATAAGAACATGCCTTGCAGACAACAAAAGGCTCTTAGAACATTCTTCGGTGGGCCCTGAGGCAAGCCCAGACGATTCGCCACTGCTTGAAAAGAAGGGAAAATATTTATGGGCGTCTCGAAGGGGGAGCATCCCGCAGCGAGGCAGTCCGGGTCCTCTCCGTCCCGTGCGGGCCTCCTCTTGAGGCCCGCCCAGGGATCGCAGCGTCAGCGTTCTGCCTGTGCATCAACTCTCCAGAGACGCCCGAGAGGCTCCTAGAAGGCCACCACCGGCCCAGATTTGTCCCTGGTGGCGTTTGGCTGAAGAGGGTTTTTTCCCTGGACGCCCGAACAAAATAGGTGCGGAGAGAATGGGTACGATGCCCGACAGCAGGCGTTGTCCGACACCAACAGCGACACCAACAGCGGCCGCTGTTGGACAGGCGGCCTCCTGTCTCAAATGGACATCGCCTGGGACGGCACCGCTAAATAATCCTGTTCAACAAAATCAGACTTGCTGTCGGTCTCTGTAGCCATCCTTCCCATACCCATTCCGACCGCACTCGAGCTCGCAGTGGTACGGTGAGGAACTTTCGCTCGGCGCGTCGCGGCGGCCACCCACAGCGGCACGCTCAGCCTTGCAGGCGGACAGGCGTGTCGCTCCGCCCCGCGGGGCGGGAGGCCGTGAAAGGCTCGAGACACTGCCGCTCGGGGGCTGGGCCGCGGATGGCGTGTCGCGTCGAGGCCTGGTGGGCGAGAAGCGGGAGAGCGACACGCTATAAGCCAACACTCCCGACCGCAGCAATGGCAGACCAAAAACCACAAGAACATCCCGCTGGGGGGGCGGCGGGGAGCCTCAGACCGCCCCAGTCCGGCGGCCGCTTCGCCGGAGACTTCCACACAGCGTGCTCGAGGATGTCGTGCTCGCGCCGCAAATGCCAGCTACATGCTTGGCCCGGGCGGGCACGATCCCTGGTCAAAAACCTACCAAGGGGGCACATGACCTGTGCTTCCTAGGAATCTTCGGGGAGCACATAGGCATACATGATCTCACTCCCCAGCATCCTTCTCTTCGACCCGCCTCTTCACCGTTGCTGCTATCAGGGTGCTTTGCTGGGGCGGTTTGGATTGCTGGGCCGCTGAAGCATGACACCTGACGACAGCATGTGGCACGCAGCCGAGCAACCTATTGCGGGACAGCGCGAAGTACCTGGTTTATGGGATAGGGAAGAGGGAGAGGGCGACAGGGTGCGGGTGGAGGGGAGGTGAGAGGGATGTGAAAAGGGGGGGAGGCTGGGGAGGAAAGGGGACGAATACGTACGCATAGGCAGGGGACGTGTCAACATGAACGAGGCGGGGAAAGGGGGGTGGGCTGGAAGGAGGAAGCGGAATTTGGAGAATGTGAGAATGTGAGGAGGAGGACGAGGAGGAGGAGGAGGAGGAGAAGGAGGAGGATGAGCAGGAGGACCAATGTAAACCCAGGAGTCATCAACAATGTTGGAATAAACCCTCCAGGTTCCCTCTTCGCAGGCCCCTACAAACGGTTCATTTCCATTGAAGGAACTGCCTCGTTGGAAGACAACCGTTTGAAGAATCTGAAGCACGCCAAAACATTATTCTCGGGATTCCAACGCCACGGATCAACCTGACTGTTGCGTCTTGGCGACCCTGGATCGGGCCAGAACGCCATTCCTGAGACTTCAACACCACAATACAAAGTAACTGTTGCACCCGCGTAATCCGGAATCCTTACAAAACAACTTCTGGCACGCTGATCATGGGAATCCGTGAAACTTTTTGACCACATTTTGAAACAAAAAAGCCACATTTTGAAAAATCCGCGCGGCGCTGAAGCAATAACCACATTTTGAAACAAAAAACGCCCTCAACCCGTGAAGCTCTCGCAAATGTTAAAAACGAATGTGCGCGACGCTAAAACGAGAGCCGCATTGTGAAAACGACCCGCCCTCAATCCATGAAGCTCTTGCCAATGTTTAACATTAGTGTGCGCGGCGCTACGGCGAGAGCCACATTTTGAAAACGACCCGCCCTCCATCTGTAAAGCTGTTGCCATGTTCGAGCTTCAGATCCATAAGCGAAGAGGAAGTCTCAGGCGAAACGCTCGGCCCGCCCTACAAACTGGCCCCGCGGTGCGACAGGGAGAAATTATTTTTAAGGAAAAGGAATGGAGGAGGAGGAGGAGGAGGAGGAGGAGGAGGAGGAGGAGGAGGCGGAGGAGGAGGAGGAGGAGGAGCGAGCGACCCCACAGCGCGGGTTCCCCCCTGCTGCTCTAGGCATCGCAACCGCGGCCGCGGCGGGGCCCGCCATTCACCGCCTGGTCGAAGTCGACGGTGGTGTCGCCCTCGTCGCAGTCGATATGTGAACCAGCTGGCGGGAGGCCAGCAAGGTCGAGGACGGTGTCCTCGTTGGTCGGCGTTTCGCCGTCGTTAAAATGGCGGGCTGCCCTACTGTCCGTGTCGGTGTCGACATTGATCTGCTTGATGTTCCTCGTCTCCTCTGCGGGGGCCTCCGTCTCCATCATCACGTCGGCTGCTTGTGCCGCCAACGCATCGCCAAGTGAGGTCGCGGGAAAGGCCCCAACCTCCGTCGCAGGTCCACGCGACATATAGACAGTGCCTCGTCCCAGTACCAGTGCAGGTGGAAGTGCATATTGTGAACCAGCTGCATGGACTTGCGAGGTCACGGAAGAAACCCCCACCTCCGTCGCGATCCCAAGCGACATAGAGACATTGGAAGGAACCCATGGAATCCCTTGTGGAGAAGCGTCTTGTGCGTCCGAATCTTGCACATGCGAGGTCGAGGTCGCGGGGGGGGGGGGGGGGGGCATCCGTCGCATCCCCAAGCGAGATAGAAACAGTGGGCGGGGCCAGAGCTCGTACTTGGAGACGTGCGTCGCGATCGTCGTCGCCTTGCTCTTGCGAGGTCGTGGGGGAAGCCCCCGCCTCCGTCGCCGCCCCAGGTGATAAGAGGGACAGTAGGACGCCCCAGGGCTTGCTCAGGTAGTCGAGCATCTTGGCAGGCTCGAAGCGCGCGGGCAGCACCAGCACCTTGCGATGACTACGCTCTGTCGGGGTCCATCTCTCTAGACCTTGGCCCCGACCCTCTGTAGCTCCGTTGGCCTCGGATGCCGCGGGTGCAGACGTTCCAGCGGGGCCGAGGTGCAGATGAAGGCCTCCGCTCGCCCCGTTCGGGCAGAAGTGCTGCGAGCCCACGTGGGCGTCGAGCGCGGCCCCACCTTTCGTCCAATTCAGAAGACGGAAGTGCTGGCGGGGCGCCCGCGCCGCCAATAGGTGCGGACCCTGGCTGGTCGCCGGGAGGTGGTGGGGCCTGAGTGCCCAGCCGCCTCAGTGGACCGTCGCGGGCATCCCCAGCGCCCTCTCGCGCAATTCGGGAGGCGCCGCCGGCCCGGTCTCGACCCCCGGGGCCTGCGGGCGTAGGGGTGCTGCCGCCGCCGCTTGCCGACGCGAGCGCGGTCTTCGACGTGGCCGCGGGGGCCCGGGCAGCGGGCGGCGCTCTGGCCGACGGAGGGCGCTGCGTCGGGATGAGGTTGAAGGTCGTTCGATATGTTGCCAGTGCCGCAGCCGGCCTCCATCGCGGGGCTCGCGAGGTGGTCTAAGTCCATGTCGGGGCCGCCATGGTCGTCGTGGTTGGTGAATGTGGCCGAGTCCCCGAAGTAGTACTCGAGCTCCTCGCCAGACATCGCGTCGTTTTCGCGCGGGTCGGCGCCGCCCTCGATCGCAGCCGGCGCTGCCGTGCGACCTGCATCGCGGTCGCCTCCCATGATGTGGAGGTCGGTGTCAATCGGGTTCGGGCAATCAATCGTCTGGGCCGACGCTCGCGTTGTCCTCGTCGGGCGGGTAGAAGGATTCTGCTCCGAGGTCGACCCCGTCGGCCTGGCCATCGCGGGCCCCGCGCGCGTCGCCCGGGAGATGCGGCGGCAGGGCGCGCTGCGGTGCCAGAAGCAGTGGCGGCGCCGGCGGCTGACAGGGCCTCGCCCGTGCGGGGTCTCGTTCGCCCCGTCGCGCGCGCGTCGCGTCGGGTGTCTGAGATTGCTGGCGGAGGTGCTCGAGCGCCCTCGGTCGGATAGCTCGCAGGCGTCGGTGCCCGTTGTGGGGCCACGGCGGTGGATGCTGCCGCCGAAGCCGCCCCCGAGCGATTGCAGGGTTGCGCCGTCCCGCCGCGCAAATGGCTTGCGCCAGCTCCTCCCGGAAGCGGGGGTCCGAAACCCCTCTGGCGCGCGCTCCCGTGCGATTGCAGAGCTGCGCCACCCCGCCGCGCGCGCCCCTCGTGCCCGCTCCTCCCGGGGGACGGGGGCCCGAAGCCCGTCTGGCGCGCGGGCCAGGGGGGGGGGCCCGAAGATCGGTTCAAATCCCTCGCGGCGTAGGATGTCCGCGACGTAGGTTGGAGGCCTGGAAATGGGCACCAACGCCAGCGCAGGGGGGGTGCCTCCACAGGGGGAAGATCATCGAAGATTTCGGCGTTGGTGGCAATAGTTCGGCCACCTCGAAGCCAGAATCTGACCACCATTGCCGAGATCGGGATCGTCTTCCCTCGGTGGAGGCACGCCGCCGATATTGGTGTTGGCGTCAACCTCTAGGCCTGCGAGTAGGGGATTCACCAGTCCAGCCGCTGCTGGAAGTCCGAGCCGCCGGCGCGCGCGCGCGCAGCGAAGGCAGCCACTTCTGAAGTCTGGGCCCGGCTCGCCGCCCGATCCGCGAGCTTCCGCGTCGCCGCTGCTCGCGGCGGGCTGGCGGCCGTGGGCCTGGATGCGTTTCTCAAGGTCGTCGAGCTCGGGCTTGGCGCGGGCTGTGGCAGCTGCGACGGCTTCACCCAAGGCCGCCTTGATGGAGTCCGTGGGCCGTGGTAGAGCGTCGCCGATGGGGGCCGCAGCTGCCTGGGTCGCGGCGGCGGCCGTGTTGGCGAAGGCTTGCTCGCACTCCAGCCTGGGCTGGCCGAGAGACCCGCGGATCCTAATGCGAAAGAGTTCCCAAACGTGGTCATCGTGCCAACTGTCCTGCGCGAGGTCTTCAGGACCATCTCCTTCGATGCCAGCACCTCTACCAGATCGAGGCTTGACTTCGTCCTCGTCCGCACCAGGAACAGAGCCAGCAGCAGGGTGGCCGTCCGCCAGTTTGTGATTATTATGTTTAGTATTGTTTTTCTTCTTCTTCTTCTTCTTCTTCTTATTGGAGCCCACTGTTGTTTGGCTCTGCGAACACCATCGGGCATAGACTCGCTATCGCTTTTGGAGAGTGCCAACCACTGCGCTGACAGCGCGACCGGCCGAGTCCCCGACAGGGGTGTTAAAGAAAGGATGCTGGCCGCGGACTAGCGGTATCCACTTCGCTCCCTGGGGGGCAGATCATCTCGAGCCAAAGCGGCGACGCAAGGAGGAGGAGGAGGAGGAGGAGGAGGAGGAGGAGGAGGAGGAGGAGTATAAGGAGGAGGAGGAGGAGGAGGAGAAATAGAAGGAGGAGGAGGACAGAGACGACGAGGAATACGAGGGGGATGGAGGAGGCGGAGGAAGAAGAGGACAGCAGGGACGGATGCAGGGGGGCGGGATGGAGATAGGGAAGGAGAGTCAGGGGGGGTAGGGTCTGGAAGGACGCTTACTTACATGCAGGAGAATCTGCCCGAGGTTTCCGCCGTAGACAACTCCTCCCGTGGACCGCCGTTTCCCCTTCACTCGCCCATCACCTGCATTTGCGCGAGACCCCTGCGCACGCCGAGAGGCACTTCCGACGACAGCGCTCGAATCAAACAACTCCCTCGTCCCTTCTCCCCGCTCCTCCAGCTCTCCTCTCCTCTTTCTGGTCCTGCTCCTCCCATTCCGCCTGCTGCTCCTTCCAGTTATCGTCTCCTCGTCCTCCCCGCTCGCGTCGCCCCCAGCTCCTACTTCTATTTCTCCCATTCCACCTCCTTCTTCCTCATTAATCTTCCACCTCCTCCTCCCACTCCTATTTCTCCCATTCCTTTTTCTTCTCCTCCTCCTCCCCCTCCTCCTCCCGCTCCTCCTCCTGCTGCTCCTCCTCATCCTCCTCCTCATCCTCCACCTCCCCTCACTCATTATCCTCCTCCTCCTCCGCCTCCTCCTCCTCCTCGTTCTCCTCCTTCCGGCCGCCCCCTCCACCCTTCCCTCTCCCATCTCTTCCCCTGCTCCCCCCTTCCTCGCCTCCCCATCCCCCCCTTCCCCCTCCCCCCCCCGCCCCCCGGAGTGGAGGTCGCGGAGGAAGCGGGCCTGCAGGACGCTGTGACTGCCGCGGCGCCCCCGGCGGGCGCCTGCGGGGACTCGAGCCCAGCGGGCGCGCCTCTGACGGCGCCTGCGAGGAGCGGAAGGGCTGCCCCCGACCCAGGAAGGAAGAGGACAGCGACGACGACCTCCTCCTCCTCCCTCTCCTCCTCCTCCTCCTCCTCCTCCTCCTCCTCCTCCTCTCCTCCTCCTCCATTCCTTTTCCTTAAAAATAATTTCTCCCTGTCGCACCGCGGGGCCAGTTTGTAGGGCGGGCCGAGCGTTTCGCCTGAGACTTCCTCTTTTATGGATCCTCCTCCTCCTCCTCCTCCTCCTCCTCCTCCTCCTCCTCCTCCTCCTTCTCCTCCTCCTCCTCGGACGGAGAGGGGAGGGGGAGGAGCAAGGCGAGTGGGTCAAGTCAGCAAGGTCGAGCGGGGCAGAGGGGGCCCCGCGGCGATTCCCGCCCTCCCTCCCGCAGCGTAAGAGAATCAGGCGCGACACGGCCCGGTACTGCTGGGAGCGCGGGCCCTCCAAAGCGCCCTTCCTCCCCCTCCTCCTCCCCTCCTCCTCCTCCTCCTCCTCCTCCTCCTCCTCCTCCTCCTGCTCCTCCTGCTCCTCCTGCTCCTCCTGCTCCTCCTCCTCCTCCTCCTCCTCTCCTCCACGTCCGTGCTGCCCCATCCAGCTCCCGACCCCTCACTCGATTCCTCTCACTTTCCCCGAGGCGCCAAGACACGAGGCTCCGAGTCCTGCCATCTCCTACGGGTAGACACGAGGCCCGGGCGAAACGCCATTCCCTGCGAGCGGATATTGTGTGTGTGTGTTAATGTGTGTGTGTGTGTGTGTGCCGCCCCGCCTCGCGGGGCGGGCATCGTCGAAGAGCTCGAGACGTGGAGACCTGGTGGCCAGGTGTGGCGGACAAGAACCGGCGGCGCGGCACACTAAACAGACCTTCCTGACCGTAGGACAATCGAGCCGGACGGTGAAAGAACGGCGACGCAGTGATCTGCCAGTATTTGGCTAACGTTTCGTCACCTGCGGGGCTCCTCTCCGCCAGACTGACTGCTGACGATGTGCGTGCAAAAGGGTATGTAAGCATTGCCCCATCACGCGTGTAATGAATCATCGTGGAACGAATGTTTGCCAACATGGGACCTACATAGTGCGTGCTTACACCCGGGATCCGAAAAACACCGATATATATATATATATATATATATATATATATATATTCATACATACATGTACACATACGAAGACATAGCACCCTCTATATATGATATGTAAGCATGTGTGTGGTGCAGCCTTTGTGGTGCTATCTACAGGATTCAAGCCATGCGGTGCGTTATGTGATACGAACTACGTGATATGTGTGATGCAAGCTGTGGTGCAACCTGACTGGAGAACGCTATGTGGTGAATTTGTTGTGATGCAAGCTACGCGGTGTCGTCTACAGCGGACCTCACGTGAGCGCCCACCAAGTGAAACTTCGGCGGACCCACCCAGCGCACGGGGCGCCCACGAGGTGCCTGCGACCCGCCGCCAACCGGGCACGAGGCGAAGCCATAGCGGATTGCTCACCAGCACAAGCCAGACCCCCTAAGTGCAGACACTCTTTGGGGAACCAGGCCTCGGCCCTCCCCACCGCAGCCTGAACGTTCGCGCCCCTCGCCGTGCTCCCTCTCCGGCCGCAGTCCTTTTTCCCCCTCTCCGAGGGCAGGTGCTCCGCGGAGGTCCGGTGGGGCTGCCTGGTGAAGACGGCCTGCGCCCTGGCCCGGGCCACGCCGCGAGGCGCAGGCTGCGGGGGGCCGCCTGCTCGCGGCGCGTGCTGCGTGCGGTTGGCGGCGCCCGCTCTCGGCGGCTTCGGCAGGTCGTTGCGCGGCTCAAGCGTGGCGCTTCGGTGGTCCAGGCCGTGCGGCGCATGCTGGGCGAGGCGGCGCCGGCGCGCCGCGTGCTGCGCGGCATCCGCAGCGTCGTCTGCGGGGGCCTCGGCTTCACGTCGCAAGGTTTTCGAAGGGGCCCGCTGCCCCGTCGTCATGGGCGGAGAGCTGCTCGGGAAGATCTCCGCACTGCGGTGCCAGGGGAGGCGGGAGAGAGGGTTGACTCTGCTTCTGCGGGGTGCGGCCTCCCCCCCTGCACTCGGGGGGAGCAGGGCCCAGGGGGCGCGTTGGCGCGGCCTCGTGTGCCCTCTGGCGGCAGGGAGTGTCCGCCTTTCCTTCGTGGGATGCGAGGGAGCTTGCTCCATTGTTCCGTTCCCCCGATACACCTCTTTCTTCTCCACCTCCTCCTCCCCCTTCTCTGTCTCCACCACCTTTTGCTCCTCCTCCTCCTCCTCCTCCTCCTCCTCCTCCTCCTCCTCCTTCCTGCGGCCAGAGCAGGAGAGGACAGAGTTGGGTCAGAAGGTCGGGCGTTGATGAAGACTGCGCGCTTGCTCCAGTCGACGGAGATGCTGATACCACCGCATGGCATGACCACTCAGTTCTCAGGTTTAGCCTTCGAGAGCGCCAGCTGCTTCAAATCTGCTCACGCGTAGAATGCATCGAAACAAATATTGATGCGGGTGTCCATGATTGCGTAAATTTCAGCAATGCACAGTGAGCCAGCTGGACCGGCTAAACGGTTTGGCGCCAATGCTCTCCCAGGCGCGATCCCTTGAATCATTGCAACCAGATTAGATAAACAAGCTGCAACCACACTGAGCACTCCACCCGCACAAGGATCTGGCACGGGACATGTAAAAGCGCGATGATCAATGCGCAACCGCTGTAGAACTTCTCGCGCAACACAATAACTCCATGAGCTCCGTAAGCGGGAGCGACGGTGTCAATCGTGACAAACTTCCTCATGCTAACCAAGCGAAGGGTCAATACCAGTTGCGAATGGTGCAACAACGTGTTGGCGTCCCATGTCGCACAACCCACCTGCTTAGCGCATGATGCAGAAAACGCGCTTGGAGCCGGCCGGGGGTCTGAACTGATTGGGGCTCCAGGAACTCGGCCGGGAGGGGGGATGAGGCCAACTCCGCTCAACACCTGTGTCCTGACCTCCTGGGGTCCACCTGGTGCAGTTCTTCACTCCAGACCCGTCGTGTTTGACGGTCTCGAGGCCCCGAGACAGCCCCCAGAGGCCGACACGGGCAACAAGCCTTCCCGAACCCAGCACCTCGAACCCGCCCGCCCTTCTCGCTGGCCGGCACCGGTGCTGGGCCACCCCAGACCCCCAGCCGGCCCCAAGGACGCGCTGCCCACGCCTTCACGCAGCCCTCCCTGCGAAGGCCTGCGCAGCGACCTCCTGGAGCCTCGTCGTCGCGATGCCGATGCCGCTCGGCGCCGCCGTGGTTCACTCCGCTGCCGGCGCCTCCAGAGGCGACGTGATGACGGGAGCCTGCAGGTCCCCCTTCGCGCGCAACTGGCTGCCCTCAGTGTGCATTCACCTTGTGAGGTTCGCTGCCCTGTGTTGTCCAGAGGCCTGGTCTGCCCGCGCGTGAATGATTAGCGCGCAGGGCTACACCATATCCTCCAATCCTTTGCGCACTCTTCTGCTGCATGCCGTCTCTGTGCCGAGGCACGTCTTGCTTGTGCCCATGCTGGCGTACGATGGTAGGCACCGTCTGCCACGTGCCGCGATGACGAACTCTTTGCTCCGAGCATTCGATCAACGAAGGCTCGCCTGCGCCTGCCACCACCGAGCCTCATGGGTAGCCACCATCGGCCGCTGGTCAGCGATCTTGAGGTTTATTCGAGAGCGGTTCAGCGTCAAAGACCACTTCGGCGCAGAGCTCGATGCCCGCCAGTTGGGTACACTCACGAGGAACTTCTTCAACAACCTCCTGGCCCACTTCACTGGGCCAGGGGGTCAACATGATGCCGTAATGACGTGTTTGGGCCTGTGACGAACTACATTGAACTCCTGATAGAAGTGCGCAAGCCCTACAGACCCATCGCCCTGTGCGCGTCCGCGGTGCCGTCGAACAGAAAATTCGATGCCTCGGCGCGACGCCGGACTGCAGCCACGTGCTCGAGGCGCCGCTCCATCTCGGATGATGCTTCAGGTGCCACTCGCTGCTCCCGCAACGGCCGAACGACTAGCCGAAGCCGAGAACACCTCGATAGCCCGCGCCTTCACCACACAGAGCTGCTCTTCGACACTGCCTTTTTGCAACAGGTCAAACAGTAGTTCCACCATGTCCGCGTCCATGAGCGCTGCCTACTTCAACGGCGACTTCAAACGCCTGGCCAACAAGTGATTATTCTTGAGATCGGAGCATGGCTGCCAGCTCAGCAGCACGACGTACCTCAGCATGTTTTGGATCAGCGGCTGGGCCTGCAGCAGCACTTGGTGCGTCAGGCCCAAATCGGCCACAACCGCGGGGTGTTGATGGTGCATGCGGAGGCTGAAGCTACAAATATGAGTGATTGCTGCGAGGGGAAAATGTGCAACGATGGTGGTCGCGCTCCTTTGCGCACTGCTTCTCCTAGGCCTGGATCTAACTATTCGGACACATTTCGCGTGACCTCCCGTGCCTGCAACCCAGCATGGACAAGATCCGTGATATGAGTGCCGCGTACCACGTTAGAAAGAATGGAGCAGGCTTGGACGCTGCAGTGTCAGACAAATGATGTCACACTGCCCCAGCTGCCGCAGACCAGAGTTGTCAATGCTTGGCACGAGCGGGGCATCCAACATGCATGCGCCATGAAACAAGACGGTCACAGACAGAAGCCAGAGAAAGAGTGAGAGAGAGAGAGAGAGACAGACAGACAGACAGACAGACAGACAGACAGACAGACAGACAGACAGACAGACAGACAGACAGACAGACAGACAGACAGACAGACAGACAGACAGGCAGACAGACAGACAGACACACAGACAGACCGACAGACAGACAGACAGACAGGAGGACGAGGATGCGAAAGAGGAGCAGGGGGAGGAGAGCAGCTCGACAGGAGGCCGAGGCCCAGCAGGAGCGGAGGGGAACGGGGCGCGGGGAGGGGGAGAGAGAGAGAGAGAGAGAGAGCGGGCGACGAGGACGTGAATGCGGCCCACCAGCAGGCGCGGGTGGAGAAAGCGGACGAGGCGAGGGAAAAAGGCCCCCCCCCTTCCCCGCCGAGCAGGAGAAGCTCATCGCCGAGCGGCTCGCCGACCTCGGCACGGCCCCCCCGGCGGAGACCGCGGAGCCGCCGGGGGGCCCCGTGGGGCACGAGGCGGAGGAAGAGGGGGGCGGGGGAGCAGGAGGGCGAGGGCACGCAGCTGAAGGTCATGATGTCCCCATCCTACTTCACGACCACATCCCAGAAATAATCTCGAGCACCCGGACAAGTGTCAAAAGAGTGTCGAGACAGTGTCGGAACAGTGTCGGGCGAATGTCTCCCAGGGCCTGACACGTGAAAACCCTTGAGTTTGGGTCCTGTTTTTGGCGCTCGAAATTCTTTCTTTTCTGGTGGTCAAGGCTACAGTAGGTTGGAGCATCATAGGCTGAAGGAGGAGGAGGAGGAGGAGGAGGAGGAGGAGGAGGAGGGGAGGAGGAGGAGGAGGAGGAGGAGGTAGAAGCCAACTGCCTGCCGTTCGACTGGGGCGAGGACCAGGAAAACACAGCATCGAGCCACTTGCCAACCCCTTTGTCGTGCGGGGACCCTCGCGCGACGCGGGTGCGGCGCAGGGCGCCCCTGCCAGAGCGGGGGGAGGCGAGGCGGCCGGGCCGCTGCACCTCAAGTCCTACACCCTGCGAGATGCTTAAGAAATCATGGGTTAAGAAGTTGAAGGAGGAGGAGGAGGAGGAGGAGGAGGAGGAGGAGAAGGAGGGAGGAGGAGGGAGGAGGAGGGAGGAGGAGGGAGGAGGAGGGAGGAGGAGGAGGAGGAGGAGGAGGAGGAGGAGGATAGTCTCAGAATTTGAACAAAAAACCCAGAACTCCTTTCGAAATCTTAGGAATTACACTGAAACATTATAAGAATAATCGAGACTCTGGCCGAAAACTCAAGTTTTCTCGAGAGTATGGCCTAGGGTGTACACCCACTTAGAGATACTTGTTTCACCGCCATGGCGGAGACGACGCTCGGCACTCGGGCCAAGCCTCCCCCCCTTCCCCCGGGTAACGGCAACGCTCGTGCCCGGGGGGGGGGCTGGACTCCCCCCCGACATGCGGGTGCCCGACGGCATGCTGTGTTGCTCAAGAAGTATACTGCAGCGCTCCCGTGCTACCGTGGCGCATGCAGGCTTACGATGTTCAATGGAAAAAGATCCAATCCAACAAAAATCTCCAGACAACCCCCCGGACAACCCGGACAACCCCTCCGATGCTGACCTCCGAACACGGGATCCGGACAACCCCGCCGGACAATCCCCCTTGGAAACCCTCCCAAGGATATCTTTCCATAATATAGTATTGGTGGTGCTCGAGCGCGCGTTGCGCTGCTGACACTTTTGCGGTTATGACTGGGTCTGGCGTGCTGTTGTAGTTGTACATGCGCGTGGTGCTCGCAGGCGTGTGGTTCAATCGCGCAGTGGTGTTCGTGGGCACGTTGCGGCGTTCGCAGGCGAACATGCTGTTCGTGAGTGAGGGAGGGGCAAGAGGAGAAGGAGGACGGCGACGACGAAGAAGGACGAGGGAGGTAAGGAACGGCATGGTTGAGGTAAGGGTCCGGCACGCACAAGCCGCTGCAATCGCGGTGGCGGTTTCTATCCTGTCGCCGCCACCGCCGCCACCGTCGTCGACCTCGTCGTTCGTCGTCGCCGCCGTCGCCGTCGCTGCCACTCCCGCCGTCGTCGTCGTCGGCGTCATCGTCATCGTCATCGTCGTCGTCGTTATCGTCGTCGTCATCGTCGTCGTCGTCGTTGGTAGTCGTCGTCGTCAGTCGAGGAGGAGGAGGAGCAAGGGAAGAGGAGGAACGTGGAGAGGAAGAGGATGATCTGCACTGCCGCGCCACGTTGAGCAGCCCCTCACCACGCGGCGTGGTGGTCGCAGCCTCACTGCGGTGCTCGCAGACGCGCAGCGCGCGCACTGCGGTGCTCGCAAGCGTACGGTGGTGTTCGCAAGCGCACTGTGCCTCCAAGGCGCACCGTGGCGCTCGCGGCGTGGAACGGCTGCCGCAGGCGCACGGTGGTCGCTCGCGGGCCATGGCGGCGCTCGCATGTGCCCTGCCGGTGCGCTCAGGCTCTGCACGCGTGGTCGAATCGGAGGCCACTGCTGCGCTCGCAAGCGTCGAAGGCTGCTCGGGCGCAGAAACTATGGCGATGGCAACGCGCCCCCGCCCCGACGAACCCCGCCCCGCCCTCGCGGTGCCACTACCAGGGGCCAGACGCCCCCCCTTGGGCGTGGCTTACTGGGGGGGTCACAAATGGGGGGGTCAAAAAAGGTCCCCTTTCGTGCCCCTTTCGGGCCCCTCCGGAGCCCCAGGGGGCTCGTTTAGGTACCGTTTGGGTACCTTTTCGGACCACCCGCGACACCCCTCCATTTATGACCCCCCCATTACGCGGCGCCCAACCCCCCAGACAACGACCGCTGCCGGCCAGGAAAAGAAAACTCTTGGGCTCGTGGATCCGAACGCGAGGCCAGCCAGCGTGCACCGCGCATGGCACGGACGGGGCCTTTCGCTCGCAGCGTGCCGCGGCGGCGGCCCCGGCGACACGCTGCAACCTTCGAGCCGGCAGGGTGTCGCTCCGCTCCGCGGGGCGGGGGGCTCGGCACAGCTCGGAACGTCAACGCTCGGGGACCGGGACGTGAACAGCGTTTCGCGCCGAAGCCTGTACTACTACTACTACTACCACTACTACTACTACTACTACTACTACTACTACTACTACTACTACTACGACTACTACGACTACTACGGCTACTACTACTACTACTACAGCTACTACTACTACTACTACTACTACTACTACTACTACTACTACTACTACTACTACTACTACTACTACTACTACTACGACTACTACTACTACTACTACTACTACTACTACTACTACTACTACTACTACTACTACTACTACTACTACTACTGTCGGGTGCGCGCAAACATGGATTAGCGATCCATGGATTTGGCGCGCGGTCGCCAAATCCATGGATCGGGGGGGCTGCCCTCCCTAAGATGCGGCCGGTGACGCCGCGAATTCGGCAGCAGAACGCGGTTTCCCAATGGAAACGGGACCCGTCGCTAATCCACGTCCCCTTGATCCACGTTTGCGATCGCCTGAGCCTGGTGGGCCAGAAGCAGCGCCGCGACACGACGAGCCAAAGCTCCTGACCGTAACTCAATACCGGCGGCGGCGGCATCCACAAAACGCAGCCCTTTGGGCTTGCGAGCTCACGTTCTCTCCCTTGCCCCTTGCCCCCTCCTCCCTTCTTCTTCTTGCTCCTCCTCCTCTCCACTTCTTCCTCTGCCCGCCTGCTCCTCCTCCTCCTCCTCCTCTTCTTCCCTCCAGCCTGCGAAGTGGGCACGGACTCACCGCACGTGATTTTTTTGCTTGCAATGCTAACATGCTCGCGCGTTGTTTGCGCTTCTTCTTCGTGCTGCGGCGTCCCTGCCCGGCGGATAACACGTATGATCAGCGCCCAAGCGGGGCTAGCAGGCTACTGCTCGGAGGTCCTCGTCGGAAAGACCAAGGAGAATTAAGCCCCATTGGGAGGCTGTTACGCCGGATTGGGCCGCAGAGTGCGCGGGACTAAAAGGGGTAAAGCGGAACTAAACGGGATGAAGCCGTATTAACCCCGATTTCGGACCAGGGCAAAACCCCCAAGTTTGGCCTCCCAGGAGTTGCATCCGAAACCGGGGAGACCCAAAATTCAGGAACAAGCCTGATGCGTAGAGCCATGGACCCCGATCGTGGAGCACAGGTGGGCGTCACGTGCGGGAGAGTGAGGGGGCCTATATGCATGCCCCCCAACAACTGCGGATAAGACTGAGGGGACATCGGGTCCGTCGGCAGCCTGCGAAGCTCTGGAGAAGCCCGCCGTAGGCGCCGATTGTTTCAACACATTACATAACGCGCCCGCCACGGGCGCCGCTGTTTTCGTCAAAACAACGAGTAACAGGTGGGTCGCGGGTGGACCGCAGGGTGGGTCGCGGGGTGGGCCGCGGGGTGGTCGCGGGGTGGGTCGCGTGGTGGATCGCGAGCGGGTCGCGGGCGGGTCGCGGGCGAAGACGACGACGACAACGCAACAACGCAACGCAACAACGCAACGCAACATCGCGACAAAAATCCGCGCCCCGGAACCCCACTTCAGCCACGCAACCAGGGACAGTGAATGACCGTTCGGCCCCCCCTTAGTCTGATATACAGATGTGTACTCATATATATATATATATAGCGAGAGAGAGAGAGAGAGAGAGAGAGAGAGAGAAAAAAAAAAAAGAAAAAGGGAGAGAGAGAGAGAGAGAGAACAAAACAAAAAAATCAAGAAAGAAAGACACACACACATGTAGATGTGTCTGGAAAAATGGCCAGAATTTCTGCACTCACGAAAAAGAGAGGGGTGAGTATACATATTGAAGCAAGGCGTCCCATGTTGTGGCTCCCGTTTTGTCAGTTCAAGCTTAAGGCCCTGTCGGGACAGGGGAGGGCGAAGAAGAGAAGACAGGTAAGATATAGAAGGCACGGCAAAACGAAATGATTTCAGGGATGGCCGAAGGATGAGAAACAGTGGCAGGGAAAGGGCAACGAGGGAAGGCCCACATGCTCGACATGGTTGCCCCAATTCCTTCTTGACGAGAGAAAGAGAGAGCAAGATACCGGAGACTGCAGGGAGGAACGAGGACGTAGGGACACATACGGCAGATAAACAGACGAGAAGAAAACAACAAAACCTCGAGCTGGCTTCTCAAAAACCTCCTTGGGCGGCCTGGGAGCTCTCAGCGGAGCACCTTTTGAGCCCTCTTGAAGTCATCATCAAGGTCGCTTGGGGGCCTCTTGGGGCGACTCTTCTTGGGAACCTCGTAGGGCCTCTCGGGGCGCTCCTTCGAGCCTCTCGAGGCCTCTCGGAGCCATCTTGTTCTCTTGTTCTTTGGCAGGGGGGTCTCCTGGAGCCTCGCTTTGACTCTCTAAAGGCCTTCGGGCCCTCCTACAAGTTCACAGGAGGCGGCACGATGAGAGAAGGAGGCGAGACGATGATAGAAACGTCCGCGGACGAACATACACTTTTCCGAC